CCGCTCAGAATCTAAAAGTTGAAAAAATTATCAAGGTAGCCCCATTTTACAACAGAATAATAACATAATGATGAATAATAATAATGTGAATAACATGATACCTAATATATTATAATATTTACTTATGTGACACCATTTTTTTTACCATTATTATCATAACTGTATCCATCGTGGTTCATTTTGAAAATAATATTAAGTGAATTTAGTCTTATTGTTTATTATAAAATTGACTTTGATTTTGATCATATTGTCATTCGTCACTCGCGATTAATAAACAATAATTATTATTGTTATGGTCATAATCGACCAAAGGCGACGACCGACGATCACAGACCTAACCAACTGTATCGATATAAATCTAAAAATAATTTATTTTCAATGAAAAATTCGACCGATGTTCTGATCGCTGAAAGAACATGCCACGGCCCGACGAAAATCGGTTCGTTCTGCGAATCGTCACCCATCCACAGTTGCGGTGGAAGGACGTGACTGCCGACTGGCGTCGCTAGCATCGGCATCGGTCGCCTATTCTCGTCGGGAATCTTGGAGGGGGAAATATAGGCTCGGCGAGGGAACAGCCGTCAGTCTACAATATTCTACATCCTAGACAAGTATACTAAAAGATAGGCATCTGCCGTGTTATTTTTCGGAACATTGAAACTAGCGCTCCTGACGTTTGATGTGTGTAACTGTGACGGCGGCGGCGGACAGAATTTACTCCCTCCAATTTTAAATTATTATTTTAAATTTAAATACATTGAATGCAATTACCTTTAATAGTTGTAGACCAGTTTTTTAGTGATGGTAACATACGTTTTTTTTTGTCTTACGTATTTCGGGAAAATCTGTTTCCAAATCCAGTTCTATTGCTATATGTTTTGCTACTTCAACATAAGATGCTACTGTTTCGTAAATGTTTAATTGTATTTACTAATCAATTTATCATTTTATATGCGGTGTCAATTGATGTATTTTTTTAATGTAAAAAGCAATTAATTCTATCAATATTTGAGAGAATGTCATTCCATATATGTGGTAAATAAAGAAATTTAAAAGTAATTTGTGTTCAAAATAACACTAGCTCTTGATACTATCCTGATACATATCGTTTGAAATATCTTGCAAAACTAAATAAATATCTTTTATGTTTTTACAGGGTGCTGAAACCGCATGCTTTTTGATGACTATCGTGTTTCACAGTTTGCTTTCAATGTAATTTTAATAACAGTTATAAATTTATCCCATCTAGTCGTGGAACCACAAAAAACAATGAAAATTCTTTGAACTGTTCCAAAAAATGTTATCATACATGGAGACGTTTCTGTTGCATGCAAACCAACTAAATTCAAACTATGTGCGGCTCGGTAAACCTTGCTCATTTATTTATTTGAATAAGTTTCAATTGAACTCCATTATACTGCCATGTTAGCGCCATTATATAAATTAAAAAAAAAAACGTACTTGATACACCGTAGTTCAGCAGCTCTTGTATCGAAAAACACTATTACTAAAGAATTAGGATTACAGTATTACACTAATAAAATACGGAAACCGACTGGCGAGTGGCCACTACCGAAAAACGTACAGTGTTGGCTAAACCATGTTAAACCCATCTAGAAAAACCCATTCTATTATTTTTGATTATTAAACACTTATTTGGATCTTTAAAATTTTTCCTTAATCCTTATTGAAGTTGAAAACAAAACTATACACTGCCAGTTGCCACTTTAGGAATAGTAGTTATTTAAAGCCGAAAGTTACTGTACTTGATAATAAATTAAAACCCACCTATATTCTAAGTTCTAAACATAATATATAATGATTAAACTTTTAGAAAATAGGAAGAAGTTGTATTAAAAGGATTTAAAATTGAAAACTTATAAAATATATTCTCTGAAGTAAAGTTTTATTATTTTGTAATGATTTATGAAGATGTCATTACAATTTAAGTATAACAAATAACAACTCAATTTAAAAACAAAATATATTACAGATAACAAATAAAAATTAAAAGGAACTCCTCGTTAAGAAATATTAGATACCTAACACATTTTAGGCAGTGTTTAGGTTTTTTTACACATCACAATTAAAAAACAAAATAAATATTTATATCTTTTCTTGATAAAAGAGTAAAGACAAAACTCATAAAATTAAATTTTTTTTTTGTTTACGGCCTTTTAGACCACACATCCAAACATACCTGCCTCCATCCTTCACGATTTTGCGCTATCATATGCCAATCTTTCTCTAGGTAGACAACTGTTACATCTTTTTTGACACAATCTTCCCATCGCATTCGAGGTCTTACTAATTTTGTTTTCCCTTTTGGATTCTCTTGTGAGACCGTCTTTGACATAGTATCAGGTTTCCTCCACACATGACCTGCAAATTACAATCTTCTTCATTTTATCTCCTTTACTATATCCGGATAATTATACAGGTCATATAACTCCTCATTGTGTCTTTTACGCTATTCCCCTCTTTGCGGGTTACGACATTTTCCATATATCCTTCTTAATATTTTTCATTCAAAAACCCTCAGTTATGACTCGTCACTTTTCTTTACAGTCCAACATTGCGCTCCATATAGTACTATATACTTGCCGCGGAATAAGAACGTACCCGAGTGGCGTACCAAAATAGGTTTGCAGCTCGCAGGTCATAGTTATGACTATAACTATATGTTTATAACTATGACAAGGTTGCGGATGGGAAACCGGTCGCCGCCTGCGCAACGAGGTACGTTCTTATTCCGCGGCGAGTATAGATCTTATTAGTGTGACGTATAGCTGAACTCTAAGTGTCTTTGAGAATATTCTTGACTTAAGTAAGGTACCCATTGCGTAATAACACTTGTTGCCCATTTGGATCCTTTTAAGTATCTCATAATCCATATTATTTGACTGGGTGATCATTGTACCCAAATATTTAAATTGTAATACATTTTTGAAACTATAAGGCCCTACCTTTAGAAACTCTTCTAATTGTCTTCCGTACCGCTGTCTATTTATTTCCATTTATTCTGTTTTCTAATCATTAATTTGCAATCCTACTTTTCTCGCCGCTTCTATAAGTCTTTCGCACAGACATTTCACTGTATTTATATTATTCTCTAAAACCACTATGTCATTTGCGTTTGCTAAAATACTTATTGATGTTCCATTAAGTTTTACCCTTTCATCTTTTGAAATATTCATCATTCTAATTACTTTTTCCAGAACTAAATTAAAAATAATTGGGGATAGTCCATCACCTTGTCGTAGGCCTGTATTCACCTGAACTTCTCTCGATACTACGTTACTAACGTTCTTTTACCATGGTCCTATTTAAAGTGACCTTAATTAATCCTATACGTTTTTGTGGGATGCGGAAATGTTCCAAAATTTTGTATATACTTTCTCTGTTGATACTATCATACGCCTTTTTGAAATCTACAAAAAGTGTATGTAGTTCTTGATCAAATTCCCAGGTTTTTTGAGCTAGTTGTCTTATAATAAATATTTGGTCTATTGTGGATTTATTTTCTTTAAAACCACATTGATAGTCATCTATAATATTTTCCGCCAAAGGCTTGATTTTATCTAGAATGCAGTACGATAGAATTTTATAAGTTATATTCAATAAGGCAATACCTCTATAGATGTTACATTCTTTTAGATTCTGAGTGGAACGATGAATGTATTGATTTTACAATGATGTGTTTTTATATTTTTTTTTATTTTTTTTTGTGTCTGTGTACACGATAAGTAGTCGAAATAATGCTTCGATTTTGGACTTCAGTATCTTGTTCGATTGGAAAGTGAATATCGTTGGTGCATTGGGGAGGTCAAAATTCTCAAAACCGCAGGGTGGCGATTTTGGTTTTTGGTGTAACATTAAAACAAATGACCGTAGATACATGCAATTTTCACTGGTTGTTTATATTTGCATTTTCTATACACGATAACATTTTCAAAATATTTTGATTTATTTTGAACTGTTTAGGGACATTTTCATTTTTCATTTTTTTTTAGTTTTTTTTCTAGAAATATCAATAAAAATTTTATTTGTTGGTTAAAAATACTTGAAAACTTAATAGAAGGCTCCTAGTATATTGTTTCAAAGGCAGATGAAAAATATTAAAAATCGTTAGTCACAGTTTTTTTTTATAATCATTTAAAGTTCAAAAATTGACAAAATATGGAAAAATCACAAAAATTAGCAAATTATTTTGAGTTAAGAATTCGTAAAAATTTTTCTTTTTAAAACTAAGATTTGAAAATCTAATACAAGATTACTCATAAGATTGTCTAAATTTATCAATAAAAAAATCTCTACCGGAAAGTCAAATTAAATTTTTATGAGCGTTTGAAATTCAAATTTTTACAACATTGGATATTCACTTGATTTCTCATGTAGTGATTTTCTTAATTTGTTGTAATTCAAAAACGAATAACTATAGATACATGAAAATTTCACTGAATGTTCAGATTATCATTTCCTATACACTGTACAATTTTGAAAATATTTCGACTCTTTTTGAGCTGTTTGCGGACATTTTCAGTTTTCAATTTTTTTAGTGTTTTTTTTCTATAAATATCAATAAAGTTTTATCTGTTGGGCCAAAAAGTGAAAAAATTAATACAAGGTTCCTGCTATATTGTTTCAGTAGCAATTGAAAATATTAAAAATACATAGGCACAATTTTTTTTTATAAGCATTTAAACATCGAATTTTGACAACATTTATCAAAATCTCGAAAATTATCAATCATTGTATTTAAAAAATTATAAAATGTTCAGTTTTTATAGCTAAAGATTGCAAATTTAAAACAAAGTTTCTCATAAATAGTTCATACTGTAACCAAAAAATCTAAAAAATATATGAACACGGTTATTTTTTACAGACATTTTAAATTCAAATTTGGACGAAATTACATATTAAAATCAATTTTAACGATCTTTGTTTTTGTTGTAATTTAAAAATATTATTCGGGGATATATGAAACTGAAAAGTCAAAATTTATGGCCTATCCATACAATCTACCATAGTATAAGGAATAAGAATTATGCTCATGATAAGACTGTGCATATTTTAAGGAATTTATTCATAAATTCCATTTAATTTAATACCATAGAAAAGTATATAATATGTCTTATACCAAGACTGACATACCGTCTCCGCTCAGAATCGTTTTTCTTATACAATGATATTATATCATTGCATTCAAATTTAATACCATCCATTATACAGTGACCCACTTGTAACCTACAGTACAGCAGAGCGACATCCACTTACCCACCTTTTTTATCATCCTATTTGTGTATTGGGCAAATTAATGCCATATTCCAGTCTTTAAGGATCTCTTCAGTGTTCCATATTTTCTCAATTAGTTTATGAATAGTCTCAATCATTATTTCATCAACACATTTTAGGATTTCGCCTTGTATACCATCTTCGTCAGGTGATTTATGGTTTTTTAATCTCCTAATTTGTGTCTTAATTTCTTGTACCTTAGGTATTTCATATTCACAATTATTGGGTTTGTGGCGGTCGAATGTTCTAGAATGTTCGGGCGCCGCTCCGCGCGTCTTCGGTAACGTTCTTTAAGGATCGCACCGCCGTCTCTAGAATATTTGACAGCCTATATAAGCGGAAGATCGTCGCTCCACGCCGTCAGTCGGTCGTCAGTCAGTCCATGCGTTTTGTCTCGCAGTCTCACGCTTAAGATTTGTTAGCTTTTGTAATATAGTTGTAATATTGTTGTAATCAGTAAAACAGTAAAATTGTTTATTCATTTATTTATATCTACCTATTACACTTCGCTACAGGTTGTTATTGTATACAATCAAAGATTTCTTCAGGGTCTTCTCCATTGAACAACTGTTCAAAATATTTGGCCCATCTTTCTGTTCTTTCCATCTTTGTTGTTATCAGTTCTCCATTCTTATTTATTATAAATGTTTCACGCTCTTTATATCCTTTTCTCATCCTATTCACTTTCTGGTATAGTTGTCTACTTCTGTGTGCTCTGTGATCTGATTCTGCCATTTCTATAATTTTATTTATGTATTTAATTTTTTCTATTCTGCATATATTATGGGATTCCTTTCTTCTTGTAGTGTATCTTATTCCGTTGAGTAGGTTTGTTGTATGTGTTCTGGTACAAAAATTCTTCCCTAAAAACATGGTTTTGTACTTCAAGTTTTCCTCGCTTAGTCGGAGAAACATGATTTTTTTCACCAAAATAAATGTGAAAAGTTTATTTAGGTTTTGTCATGCTAGATTTTCTAATTCTTTTTCAAACCGATTATATTTGCTTGTGAAATTTCAAATTCAATATTTAAAAATTATATAAAATAGACAAAAAAAGACATAAAAAATCTGGCAGGACAAAACCTAGATAAACTTCTCACTTTTATTTTGGTGAGAAAATCATGTTTCTACGACTAACAAGAGCTGAGGAAAACTTGAAGTACGAAACCATGTTTTCGGTAGGAAAACACGATTTGTAAATGTGCTGCTCTACTGACACTAGCGGCAGAGTTCAAAAATAGTGTTCACACCACTACCCCGCGCTCGACTGTAGCCATTCTGCACAATAATTCAAAACCAGATTTCTTATCGCCGTTGCAGTTTATAAATAATCAGTACGAAAACAATTATGTTGGTGACGGAACTGTTTTCATAGTACCCATATCGAATTTTATATTTCGTATATTATTATTATTCTGCTCGCCGTGTTGTACACAAACTAAAAATCTCACATAATAAAATTGTTATAAATCGTTTAAAAAAATTACAATTTAAATAATTATTTTTTTAATTTTGTAGAGAATACGACGAGAAATTATTTTTTTTTTTTTAACGTTGACTAACATAATATAAAATTTAATTCAGTATAACAAAAAAAAAAACCTTAGATACATATGAATAAATGGAAGCCTGTTGAATAAAATGACCAGCGTAATCAATGTACAACGTAATTCGATAACTTATAATAAGTAAAAGAATAAACGGTACCCGCCGTTTTTCCCGAATCGAAATTCCCGAATGGTATTTTGCCCGAAAATCCAAAAACCCGAAACCTTTTTTCCCGAACGCGTTTTTCCCGACGGTTATTGTTCCCGAAATAAAAAATTTCAAAATTGAATTAATAGCATATTGCAGTGGCCCGCGGGCGATATATGTGGTGATAAAAATAATATTTATGAAAAAGTACAGGTATCTTCCCTTTATCGCACTTCATCGCCATTATATGGACATTCAACTGATTTGTATTTTAATTCGTAAATTATCGTTACTATTCTAGGGTTAACACATTAAATATTTTAAAATTGTAATTTATTAAGTTAAAAGTTAGTTAACAAAAAAGTAACATTTTAACAAGATTTTAATTGCCAGCCTTGATAATTCTTAGGTGTGTCCCACTATTTTCACACAAGTTTTCATGATTCTGGGAACATGCAAACAACATGATGTTCATGACGCAGTCGCTGTGCCATTTGTCTATGCACTGTTGTCGTCAAAGGAAACTGTTCAGTATACTGCTGTGCTCAGAGCAGTACAATCTTCTTTTAACGAACTCAGGATTGTTTGTGAACTGTCTAAGATCATGACTGACTTTGAAAAAGCCATAATCAACGCATGTGAAGAAGTGTATCCAAATTCTCCTCTTAGTTGTTGTTTTTTTCATTTCGGCCAATCAATTTATCGACAAATTCAGTCTGCTGGTTTTCAAGCCGCATACAATGATCCCGACGATCGCTCATTGAAAGTTTACACTCATATAATGCTAGCGTTGGCATTCGTACCTTTGGCTGAAGTTCCTCGCATTTTCTCGCTCTTGGAAAATGATGCGCCTGAAGATCTATCACCAATTTTTGAATATTTTGAAAAAAATTATGTTCTTGGTGTAATAGCTCGAGGAAGAAAACGAGGAAACTTACATAATATTGTTTTGTAAGTAATAATTATTAATATTGTTTATTTTATTTTTTATATGTATTTATTTTTACTATACAACATAGGTGGATTGGCCGCTTTATACTTACTTATTATAAAATATGATCGATTTTTAAATATTTAATTATCACACTATCACTATATGTTTTAAATTATTATTACTTTTATTTTTTATATGTAAATATTTTTACTATACAACATAGGCGGATTGGCCACTTTATACTTACTTTTTATAAAATATAAATTATGATATTATTATTCGATTCGGGTAAAAAGTGTTCGGGAAAAAAGATTTAGGGTATACTGACTTTCGGAAAAATTCCATACGGGAAAAAGTTTATTCGGGAATTTAGATTCGGGAAAAAAGGTTTCGGGTTTTTGGATTTTCGGGCATAATACCATTCGGGAAAAAGTTCATTCGGGAATTTTGATTCGGGAAAAATACCGGTAACCGAATAAACCCCTAATTATATGAACTGAAACACAATTGTTTATATAAAGCAGTCAAATTATTAATTAGTTAGTAGGTACATTCCTATATTACAGATTATTTATTTATTTATTAATTAATTAATTTATAATATATTAATATATAGACAGGTTAAACCCAATTCAAAATATGATAAATCAAATTACAAATGATACTGAATTACTGAAACACATTAAATGCATCAAATATTCACAATTTAAAAAAAAATAAAAAATATATTTACAATTTATACATACAATAAGCACATTCGATAATGGAATGAGTCATAATTAATCATTAAATTGTAAAAAATAATACAATTCTAGGTATGTAAAAAAACATAATATTTTAACATGATAATAGTGTATAGTAATAACTGTACATATTATATGAATATTAAGCGAGGTATACAAATTTTTTTTTGCTGTTTTTGTTTGTATATTTTCCAAAATATGTTAAGGATCTAAAATGTCATCTACCAACAGCCTCTTTCCGTACTAGGGATTGACTATTCCTGGAAGTAAGCATTTTGTATAAAAACTGAAAATAAAATTTGATATTATGCTTATGTTATTACATAAAAATCCAATTAGGTACTATAAATTAAAAAAAATTATGTTCAATATTACACTTTTAACTTCTCAATCATTTTTTCGCGCCAGAAAGAATCATCGTATTATTTGTATCTCTATCCAATTGGCCAAATAAACGACGAAATAACAGGAATTTCATTTTGAAATATGCATTTGTCCCTGAACTTGGTAATGGTAACTATGGTCCACTTTTAATTCCATTTTCCCGTTTTCACTGAGACGACAGAAAGTTAACTGAAATTAAATATTATATTAAAAATATTTTACATTTTACATTTTACACTTAGAGCAATCAATGTGTTGATTTGCAATGAAGAATGTTTTTAATTTTTTAATTTTTGTGTCTTTGTGCAAGGTTACTCACAAGGTTACTCATAAGATGTTATTAGTGTAATTTAAAAATTTGAGAGTAAATTCACAATAATATTTTATGAGTGTCGGAAGTAAGAATTTTGACAAATTTCATCAAAATATCGAATATTTGTAAAATGTTTTGTAGTTAAAAACTTATAAAATATTCAATTGTTATAGGTAGGTAAGTAGTAACAATTTTAAACACAGTTTCTCATAATTAGCTTAAACTGTAACCAATAAATTTAAAAATTCTATAAAGTAAAAAAAAATGTTTTGTAACTAGATATTTTAAGTTAAAATTTGGACGAAATTAGATAATGAAAAGGAGAATAATGATTTTAATTATTTTTTTTAAATTTAAAAATAATATTCTTGGCTTGTTGGTACTTGAAAATCTTAAAGTATATCAATTGAAATATTTTAGGAGAATCGTTTTAAACACAATATAATAAATAATAATGTTCTAAATTTTTTACTGTTTTTTTACTGCATATGGACATTTAATTTCAGGACCGTCTATAAATTATAAAAAAACTAATTTAGTAGTATTGATTTAATTAATATTTATAAATTAAGTACTAAAATATATTTTAAAAGGAGAAGCTGCTAAATAAGGAAAATGTTCATAAATAATAATAAGTCCACATTTATTCACTGTGCAATTAATTTTTTTTCCAACGCTACGGTAGCTTGTGGTTCTGTGACTTTACCATAATCTGTTGCTATAAATGTCCTATATAGCATATTATAAACAGTATTTTTGCACGACATAAATTTTCGAAGTTTACAAACGCAGCCAAAACCGACGCTGTGAGCCGATTTCTACGTTCAACGTGCCAAATTTGAGAGTTGACCTGTTCCCTAGCTTGTTTTTCAATGGCTAACCGTTCACGTCTGTCCAACTGTAATGTATTTATAAAATCGTCTTTTTTTTTTCTAATACTTCTATTGAAATATTGTCTTCCGGTAATGGTTCAGCTAAACCACAATGTTGATCCTGGCCACTATTACACCTTCTTTCTGAATTTATATGTTATTATTCTGTTCATATTCTCAACTCCATCCATTTCGGAGTTATGCGTTACTAATATCTATTAAAGATTGTGGATCTGAAGCAAAAACAGCAGACTACTGTGCAAATCTATTAAAAGTAGATATAGAATTAATAAAAAAGGATTTCAATAGATAACAATGTAAGTATTTTTAATTCAATAACAAAATGTTGCTAATGCGTCAGAAAATAAAAATTGAAAACCCAGATATCTTAGTTTATGGTTGTAATGCACACTATCTGTTCGGTACGATTCATTGTAGTAAGATAGGTACCTATAATAATTGTTCGCGATAGGGACCGGTCGGCTTATCTTTATTATGTGTAAGGTAGGCTCTGACAGGACTGAGTGTTGCCGTCGAACAGCTTGTGCTCGTCCACGCGCCAGACGGGAGCGTCAGACACGTGGACGTCCTTGGGCCGGACCTGTGGAACGCCTTGTATGACGACCTCCTGGGGATAGAGCTTCCACCGGACGTGGACCTAATCGCGTTTGCGGACGATGTGGCATTATTGGCAACGGCATCCGTACCCTTTTTGCTGGAGGAGAGGCTGGAGCAGGCACTTGGGGACGTTGTCGATTGGCTGACTGCCAACAGGCTGGAGCTGGCCGTCGACAAGTCCGAAGCGATACTCCTCACAAATCGCAACAAGCACAACCGCATGACGGTAAAGTTTGAGGAGCATCGCTTCGAGTCGAAGGACGCAGTGAAATATCTGGGTGTATCGATTGATCCGAGATTGCACTTTAAGGAGCATGCTGAACGGACGGCGAAGAGAGCGTCGGATACCTGTCGCCAGCTCCTTCCGAACCTAAGAGGTCCCAGGCAGCGGACAAGGAAGGTACTGGCCACTGTGATTACCTCCCAGATGTTATACGGAGCGCCCTTTTGGTTTCCCTCCATAACGGCCGAGGCATTACACAAAATGGAGGTGGTGTACCGCAGAGTCATGCTGAGGGTCGCCTGTTGCTACCGCACGGTATCGTACGACGCAGTGGCGGTCGTATCCGGCATGCAACCATTTGCATTGCTGGCCAAAGAGCGGCAGAAAATCTACGGGGGCATCCTGAAGAGCGTAGTCAGGGAACAGCTGACGAGCAGATGGCAAACAGCTTTTGACAATGCGGCAAATGGCAGGTGGACGTACCGTCTCATCAAAGATCTCGCGCCCTGGCTGAGGAGGCAACACGGTGAAGTTTCCTTCCACCTCAGTCAAGTGCTGACCGGGCATGGCTGTTTCGGTGAGTACCTCCATCGGTTCGGGAAAACCGACAGCGACAGCTGTGCTCTGTGCGGGACGGCTCCAGACGATACTGAACACGCAGTATTCAACTGCGACGCTTTTCACAACTGGAGAACCGAAACGTGTGTATACCTTGGCGTCGACCAGCTCTCGCCTGACAATTTAGTAAACAACATGCTGAGGTCTAGCGCGGACTGGCAGAGGGTGTCATCGCTGATCGAGAGGATAATGAGGACTAGGGAACAGGAGGAACGGGCAAGACAGCAGGCACCGGGCGGTGTGCAGTGAGCTCACGGATGCACGAGCAGTCGAGAGCGGCGGAATAAGTTCGGCTCGCGAAGACGGTCAGGGCACGAGTTCCCAGAGAAGAGCCTAGCAGCAGGAAAAATTAATGAATGTATATATAGTTAAGTCTGATTGTTTTTTGTAGCCGGAATGGTATGTTATTGAAGGCCAAAACCCTTCGCATTGTTAAAAATAACTACTGATGTAAAAGTTCTGGTAAGGAGATTGGCCTGACCAAACTTAAATTGTTGTATTGTTTATTTAAATAAATGATGGAGCCGGGGGGAAGTAATGCGCAAGCAGTTCCCCCCGGTTTGATTCCCGATGCCACAAAAAAAAAAAAAAAAAAGGTAGGCTACGATCGCCGACGGTCCGTTGGTCAGTTGCTCTGGTGTTGCCAGATTTGGGGATTTTTCCTCAAATTTGGAGAATTTTCAACATTTTGGGGATTTGGAGAAAGACTTTTGAAAATCATTAAAATTTGGCGATAATATCATGTTTTGGGGAAAATTGGAGAAAAATGTCTGAATACTCAATATAGTGATGTGAAGTTAATTTAACAATTTTTTTCCCCAATGTTTTTGACCGAAAACAAATTCTTATCATCTTATCTATTAACATTAAATTTGGTCAAATACTCGTACCACAGAATAGTCAAACGTGACCATGGTTAAGAACAATGTTTATTCACTATTCAGTCAAATCTCTTTGATCTTTCTCTTTTCGACATTCAAGTATTCAAGCATTCAACTGTTTCCTGTTAAATCCTGTCGAAGGTTGTTGGAGTGTTGACGTGTTTAGTGACTCATGTTGTCGGTTGACGGACAATTTTTCTTTGTCTTGTCCATATATATATAGGTGAATATTAAGTATTTAAGTATGTGGTTCACAATATTTTTTAATTTCTAACTACAATGGAATATCATACTGATTTAGACATGGATTCTGATTCAATAGCTGATACTCGTCGACATCTCGTACTCAGAAACCAAAGAAGTCGTAATTTTCTAGTTGGATATCTGTAAGCAAAAAGGGAGAGTCATATTTCCATTGTAAAACTTGTACTTGTGATTGCAAAGGTGGCATATCAGCCGTTTAAAAACACAACACTTCGAAAAAACATATTGAATTATCCAGTAGCGCTAAAGTCGATAGTGTTTTCAATATGCCTTATATGATTAACCAAAAAGCTGTGATAAAAAATATAAAACAAACCGAAATTCTGATTGCTTCATTTGTGGTTGAACATAACATTCCAATTAATGTTTCTGACCATCTAGTCAACCTTATTAATTCTATAAAACTTGAAAATAAACATTTGGAAAAGTTAACATGTGACCGAACAAAATGTACTTCGATCATTAACATTTAACAATGCCATTGCGGCCACTGGATTTGAAGACCTGGTAAATTATCTAAAAACCAACAAGTTTTCGCTTTTAGTGGATGAATCCACTGACATAAGTTCTGTGAAAAATTTAGCAATGGTGGTTCGGACATGCCAGAACTTTAAAGTCAGTGACCAATTCCTCACCCTACTTCCTGTAGCCAACGCTACAGCTGATAGTATGTATAATTCAATTATGGATTTTTTCAACAGTTATGATATACCATACACAATAAATTTAATTGGTTTTGCTGCTGATGGTACTAATGCCATGATGGGTAAGAATCACTCATTACAAAGTCTTTTAAAAAATGATGTTCAAGAATTATTCGTGATGAAATGTGTGTGCCATTCCTTGGCACTTTGTGCTGAGTATGGATGTAAAAAATTGCCTGGTGAGGTCGAAACGCTTATAAGGAATATTTATAATTACTTTAATCATAGTTATAAAAGGCAATATGAGTTTAAAGAATTCCAGCACTTTTTTTAAGTCAGGCCTTATAAGCTATTGCAGTTGAGTTGCACCCGATGGCTGTCGTTGTTAATGGTTGTGAAGCGAGTATTAGAACAGTATGTACCACTAAAATCATATTTTAGTTTACAGATGGCAGATGGCATAAGCAATTCACTAACAATTTCTGAATCATTAAATAATCCTGTATATAAGATGTACCTAGAATTTCTGGAATTTATACTACCAATATTGGTCAACTTAAATTTAGAATTCCAATCAGCAACTCCTAAAGTATACTTATTGTACCAGCGTTTAATTGGTGCTTACATATTTATTTTGCAGTGTTATATTAAGCCTGACGTACATACCGAAATAGAGAAACTGCAATATCGTAATCCGATTAATTTCTTACCAAATGATGATATATACCTTGGCCCTAAAGTAGCTATTTCTTTGACTCAAAATTTAATAAATGCAGATCAAATAACTAGTTTTCGTACAAATTGTCTTAATTTTTATGTAACATGTGCTTTTGAAATGTATAAGCGGTTTCCGTTTAATTCTAAAGAAATTATTGCATTGAAACATTTTTCGTTTTTAGATCCGAAGAACTTAGAAAAAATTCCTTCGTTAGGAAATATTTCTTTACACTTCCCTAAGTTTTTTACTGACATTAATGCTCTGGATATAGAATGGAGAACGCTTAAAGCGAGTTATGATTTAGATATTTCATTAAACGTGTTTGAATTTTGGAAAAAAACATCTATCATTGACTAAAAGAGATGATAGTCTACTTTATCCTGAATTGGCTACATTAGTTACTAATATATTTTGTTTACCCCATAGAAGTGCTGCAGTTGAACGCATTTTTAGTCAGGTAAATCTGAATAAAACTAAACAATCGTTTGGGCATTATGACTTTAAATGGTATTTTACATTCAAAACAATATATTGCATAAAATAATAAAGACTGTTATACGTATAAAATTAATAATAAATTGTTGGACAAGCACATAACAAATATGTATAAATTATTTGTGTTGTTTCTGTTACAAGATTATGTTTTATTATATAAGTTGTTAAAATAACGTTTTTACGTTTTGTTAAAACTTAAAAGTCAAGTTAAGACTGATGTTTTTAAATACTTATTTGTTGTATTGTTATACTATATTTTATTTTGTTGAACTAAGCTGATTTTATATATTATTATGATATTAATAATAAATATGTTTTATGTTTTAACCACAGTAGAAGATGTTTTTATGTTTTGTTTAAAGTCAAGTGAAGACTGATGTTTTAAATCCCTATTTGTTTTAATGTTATACTATATTTTATTTTGTTGAACTAAGCTAGTTTTATATATTATTATGATATTAATAATAAATATGTTTTATGTTTTGTTTAAAGTCAAGTTAAGACTGATGTTTTAAATACCTATTTGTTTTATTGTTATACTATATATTATTTTGTTGAATTAAGACAGTTTTAATAAAATATGTTTAAATTGCATTTATTGTAGCAAATCAAAGTTTTTTTTTTTAACAAAAACCTAATTTTTCAGTTAATGATGGAATACCAGGTAGTATTAGCTATCCCGTGTAAGTGTCACCAATATAAAAAAAATTTTGGAGATTCTTTTTATGATTTTGGGGAATTTTGGCGATTTTTTTGGTGATAACGTTTGGAGAATTTTCGAAAACTTTTTATAATTTTGTAGAGGAATTCTCAATTTTTATCTGGCAACACTGCGGCGCCGCCGCCGCACGAGAGCTTCCCAGCAGCAGATTTTTGGCATCCTTATCACGCGCGCGGCGCCCCTAGTGATTTATTCCACAATTTGACTTCTGTGATCATCGTAGTGATAAGTGATAACAAATAAATGATAATTCCCTGTTTTTAATTATTGTCATTATCTGCCAGACGCCAGTCATTGACATTTGACACTTGTTAGTTGTTAGTTTGTACTTGATACTTTGATAGTAATTTTTGTAAATTGTCAACCGGTACTTATTGTCTTATTGTCGCATTATAAAACATGGACACTGCCATTAAGTGTTTATATTGTGATAAGATCTTTGCTCAGCGTAAATCGCTGTATGTGCATTGTCGGAAATTTCACGACACAGATGTAGTACCAGTGAAAGATTTGCAATGTGGAGTATGTCAAAAAGGTTTTTCAACCCCTAAAACATTGAGTGTACATGTAAAAAAGTTCCATGATGAAATTGATACAAACAAAACCAAAAACAATCAAACAAGAATGATTTGCCCCTATGACAAGTGTGTAGTCGAATTATTTACATTTGTTAAACAAAGACAGCATTTGTGCGATGTGCATGGCTTTGATGTGGAATTGGAAAATATTAATTTTTGTGATATCTAAGGTAAAAATCGTGTATTATTTAGTATTTACCGGTATTCCTATATCATCATTCTTCATAGTTTTTAATTACAGAATTTGATTCTTGGAAACGAGAAATGGAACAACGGACATCAACAATGTATATACTTGATAGAGCTGCATCAGAGTTAAGTGATGAAAATACAAGGCAATTTTACTATTGCCATCGCTCTTACAGTTACCGAAAACAAGGTAACAATGTTAGAGAAATCAAATCTATGGGTAGTAATAAAATTGAACGAGCCTGTCCATCGTTGCTAAAAGTTACTATTTCCAAATTTGATTGAAAAGTGTCCACATCATTTTGGAAAACTCACTGTGGGCATGAACTAGAAATTGGTCGAATTCGGTTGGATGATGAGACAAGAACAATTATTGCTGGTAAGTGCTACTTTTTATTTTAAGTATTAATCAACAATGAGTTAAATATAATATTCGGGACCATTTGATACCATTTAATTCAATTATTATTTTAATTGATTCTACCTGCATACTTTTAATCAGTCTTTGGTGTTTTATATTTAATTTTATAGGTATGGCTATGTTATTTTTTAAACTCTGATTTTGAAGATAACATAAATACCCAAAAATAGTGTAATATTTATTTAATATTTTATTATAAAATAATATAAATGTACTTAGGAAAACTAAAGGAGGGAGTTACTTTTAATCGTGTGTTAGATGCTATTCGTGAGGCTGAAATATCTCCAGATACTTTTAATCGTTCATGCCTCTTGGAACGTCAAGATTTATATAATATAGCACGTGATTTTAACATAGATTATGCAACGAAACGAGATTCAAATGATAGTATTAGTGTAAAACTATAGGTCACTGAAATGAAAAGTCATGAAGCTGAATGTCCTGTATTATATTACAAAAATCAAAATGAATCTGACTCTTATTTAGACAAAGCTGACTTTGCTCTAGTCTTGATGACAAATTTCCAAGCTCAACAAATTATTAAATTTGGTTCAGAAAAAATATGCATAGATGCTACCCACGGAACAAATGCTTATGATATCCAACTGTACACTTTATTAACTGTGGATGAATTTGGGTCAGGATGTCCTGTTGCATTTTGCTTCTCAAACCGATCAGATGAACTTATTTTTAGACAATTTTTTAATGTTGTTAAGTCTAAGGTGGGTCAGATTCAATCAAAAGTGTTCATGTCAGATGATGCTCCTGCATTTTATAATGCTTGGTCTAGTGTTATGGGTGCTGTTACACATAAACTTTTGTGTACGTGGCATATTGATAGAAATTGGCGTCAAAATTTGAACAAGATAAGTGGAGTCACAGAAAAAAAGGCAATTGTATATAAAACTCTACGAGTATTATTGCAACAGACATCTGTGGAGGATTTTCAAGCTTATCATGTACAAGTTTTAGAGGATTTATTAAATGATAATGATACTAAATTATTTGGGGAATACTTTAAACGACATTATTCAAATCGACCCGAGAGTTGGGCTTATTGTTACCGTTTACGCCTTGGTATTAACACAAATATGTATTTAGAGTCTTTCCATAAAACACTTAAGCACATTTATTTAGAAGGCAAGAAAGTTAAGCGTCTGGACAAAACTATTAATGCCGTTATGAAATTTACCAGAGACAGTATTTTTCAACGCTTGATAAAACTATCTAAAAATGTCCCTTGTGAAAAAGTGCAAAAAATCCGTCAGAGTCATACAGTTAGCATGGCCTTCAAATTAGACCAAATTCAAATTTTAAAAAATGAAGAAGGATATTTAATACAATCACAATCGAACCCTTCCTTACAACACCATATTGTTAAGGTCGGTGAAACATGCAATCATCCATCATGCTTGAAGTGTATTAAGTGTAATATTTGTGTACATACTTTCCATTGTTCTTGTATGGATAATTTAATAAAACTGAATATTTGCAAACATATTCATGCTTGTGCCAGATTAATTTTCAATTCTTTCGATTATAAAGAAAACAATGTGGAAACAAATCTTGCCGAACAAGAAAATGCAATTAAAATGGCCCAAACATTTGTTCAATTTAAAGCCATACCTGACAATAATGAGGACATAACAAGTCAAGCAAAGCTTATTTTGGGTTTAAGTACTACTTGTTCATATAGTGATTCGCAAAAAGAATTAACAAAAAAGCAGCTTGCCAAATTTATCTCTCTTATGAACGAAGGAAAAGAAAGTGACCTTCAACCAGTTGAAAACATTAACATTCAGAAGAAAATTGAGCCACAAGTTAGGTTTTACTCTACCAAAAAAAAAGCAACAACCAAAAATAATATTCAAAAACCTTCAATAAATGAAGTTAATACCATTATGGCAGGGCTTGAAAGTCAACATAGAGAGAGCATTAATATTCACAATACATTTGACCACTCATACTAAATTTTTTTAATTTATATTTTTGACACTGTGATTTTAGGTTTTTATTTAAAGGAAATTATTTTTATGACAAACTATTAAGTAAAATTACATTACATTATAACATTATTTTATTCCTTTATTTGTTCATATAAACATTGAATTTTCTATGTTATAAGCCATCCCAATAACCGTTATTTTTATTTTTTATTTTTTTTTATAGTGTTTTAGCCATACTTTTCTTGTTATTGTTATGCATGTCTTATAAGTAACAAAATTCAAATATAATAAAATTATGAACAAAATAAAATACTTAAGTGTTAGTCCAAAGGCTTATTGAATTTTACTTAAAAAGAACTTCCCCTCTCTAGATTACTAGAAATATAGTATAGTACTGCAAACATAATAATTTCATTTCAGTGAGCCATAGTTTTACACTAATACTATCATTTGAATCTCGTTTCGTTACATAATCTATGTTAAAATCACGTGCTATATTATATGAATCTTGACGTTCCAAGAGGCATGAACGATTAAAAGTATCTGGAGATATTTCAGCCTCACGAATAGCATCTAACACACGATTAAAAGTAACTCCCTCCTTTAGTTTTTCTAAGTACATTTATATTATTTTATAATAAAATATTAAATAAATATTACACTATTTTTGGGTATTTATGTTATCTTCAAAATCAGAGTTTAAAAAATAACATAGCCATACCTATAAAATTAAATATAAAACACCAAAGACTGATTAAAAGTATGCAGGTAGAATCAATTAAAATAATAATTGAATTAAATGGTATCAAATGGTCCCGAATATTATATTTAACTCATTGTTGATTAATACTTAAAATAAAAAGTAGCACTTACCAGCAATAATTGTTCTTGTCTCATCATCCAACCGAATTCGACCAATTTCTAGTTCATGCCCACAGTGAGTTTTCCAAAATGATGTGGACACTTTTCAATCAAATTTGGAAATAGTAACTTTTAGCAACGATGGACAGTCTCGTTCAATTTTATTACTACCCATAGATTTGATTTCTCTAACATTGTTACCTTGTTTTCGGTAACTGTAAGAGCGATGGCAATAGTAAAATTGCTTTGTATTTCCATCACTTAACTCTGATGCAGCTCTATCAAGTAGGTATATACATTGTTGATGTCCGTTGTTCCATTTCTCGTTTCCAAGAATCAAATTCTGTAACTAAAAACCAAAGGGCAAATTATTCTCGTTTGATTTTTTTTGATTTTGTTAGTATCAATTTTATCATGGAATTTTTTGATAGGTACAGTTAATGTTTTAGGGGTGGAAAAACTTTTTTGACATATTTCACATTACAGATCTTTCACGGTAGTACATCTGTGTCGTGAAATTTCAGACAATGTACGTATAGCAATTTACGCTGAAAAATGTGATCAAAAACTCTGCTGTTAAAATTGTCTCTTGTAATTTAAGACCGTACTTCTCTATCTCTCTCTCTCTCTCTTGCTATAGATGGGTATAGAGCCTATATTCTATAGACTACTGAACAGGTTTGTGTGGAGGCACACAAGCTCACAATTTACAATAATATGCATTATATTAATATAAGTATTTAAAATATACGTCTTAATTATACACATTTATATTAATACAGTAGGTTTCCGTATTCAGTGTAGTACAATTGTAGACTTTAAAAGAAACATACATATTGTCCATCACTTCATAGTACAAAACAATAGGGCTGTGGTTGACAGGCATCATTGTTGATTAAAAAACTTATAGTCTATTGATATAATATATTCTCATGTTCAACTTAAGAAATAAAATTATCATGTAAATGAATATATTTAATTTATATTATATATAAATTGTAATTCTATTAACCGTAGTCAGTTCAGACACAGCTATAGACTAATATTGTTATATTATTTAATATTACAAATTAGCAGCTAATACTGCAACTCTCTGTAAATCTTAATATATATAAATCTCGTCTTTTATATAAAAATCTCGTGTCACAGTGTTTGTCCGGAATGAACTCCGAAACTACTGGAACGATCTTGATGAAATTTTTTACACCGTCTGTAATTTGGTCCAACTTAAAAGATAGGATAGTTTTTATCTCGATTAAGGCCCTCAATATTTTTGCATTGAAATAATTGTGAAAAAGAAAGTTATAGAATTTTCTAGAAAGATCCACAATGTTTAAAATAGTGAGTGATGTCGTATAAAATGTTCCCTAAAGCTAAGTTCTAGAAATGTCAACCTTCAAAGGTATAAAATGTACATCATTTATAAAATTATATTTGTTTATGTTATAAAATAAAGAACTTTGTAATTTACTCATTCATTGCAGACTATGTTCTATCCTTAATCCTGTGGGTTATTATTAGTGACATTGTATGAATATTAATTTGACATACTAAATAGTTTACTATACGCTATGATCTCCGAAATCACTAATAAACTGCAAATAAAAAAAATTAAAAATATTTTCTCATACATAATAACAATAATACACAGCTTATGAAAATGCCAAAAAACAAACTAATACGCGAGCAACGCCGTGTCTGGACAGCTAGTTATATTATTTTAATAGGTACACCAAATTTTATTATTATCACCTATAAGTTAAAAGATTAAAGCCAACCAAGTACCAACATTGTATATACAAAAAGTTATTTAAGCATACATCATAATCTGCTCCTAGTCTATTACCTAAGTCAAAACCTATTTTCACTCATCTAATGTATAAAAAAAAATAGACTTAAGCATTTGACCCAAACATTAATGCCAAATAAAAATAATTAATAATTTCCCAGGTAACGGCATCAAGTCTTACCAAAACTGTTAAATATACAGCGTTCATATTGTATTAACTAGACTAAATATTATGCATTTTATTTATTGACATTAGCAGTACTTAACAAATTTAAATTTTAAAAAAGAAGTGCTTTATGTCTTGATACTATCATTTGGTAACTATAATATTTAGGCTGTGCCTGTTGATATATTCTCCATTTTAACTACGTAGTAAGTGAATTATTATAAAATCAAATAACAAGAAAATGCATTAAAAAATTATGTGTTTTAACTTTTATTAAAGAAAACTGTTAATTTATGGCAAAATAAAGTTACAATATTCTATTGATACTTGATTACATAATATATTTTTTATAGTAGTAAATTTTATAAACTAAGCTAAAATTACCAAAATATATATTTTATGAATAATGTCGTGCCTATTTAAATGCACGGCGGACGCTTTATTTTAAATATAAAAACCGGGAATTATCATTTATTTGCTATCACTTATATGCACGTGATAAGGGTGCCAAAAATCTGCTGCTGGGAAGCTCTCGTGCCGCCGCCAACCGATTATATAAAATGCTTTATTATAATAAATAAATTATAACCATCGTCCATCAATCGCGATTTGACTTAACAATTTTATTTATTGCTGCTTTTATTTGGTTTTATTAATTATATTGGATTGACTTTCACATAAACTTTTTATTACACTATTTACTTCATTATTTAAATTGTTGAAAATAGTTTTTCCCATTTAATTGGTGAGAGTTTCTAGAACTACCTAGTTAATAAAGTATATGATGGTTCAGTGTATTTTCCTGTTCTTCTGTCTTTTATTTCTGTACACAGAAAAATATAATTTAGTAATTGTTAATAGTTTATCATAGTTTAGTTGTGTCACCTTAATAATAGTTAATCCAGATTCGTAATTAATTGTCGTTAGTCGTTACCAAAACGATTAGTAACATGTATCAAATGATTTTAGTTGTTTATATTATAGTTGAGTAAACTTAATATAAAGCTGCTTAAAAGTATAACTATTTTATTTATTTCACATTACCAAATAATATAGTTAAATCAATGTTTTTAAGATAAAACTATATTAATTTAGTAGTATATTACAAGAGATTCTATTTTTAAACTTTTAATTGGGTAAATCCGTATAAGTATTCCTACTCCTCGCGTCGTTTCGGTAACATGTTAGAGAAGAGTTGCCCTCCTAAGCCAAAAGGCAGTAAGCGACAAAATTTGAAAAATGAGTTGACTATCAAATTAATCGTTATTTTAAGGCGCTTTTTTTTATTCCTTAGTAAAAATACCGTAAGTGAAATAGTTTTTGTAATAAACGTGGTTAAACATATACATATTTACAAATATATGTATGATACTAAGCAAAAAAGCAGTAGGTATCACACACATGCTAAGCAAAAAGGCAGTAACTGACCACAGTATATGGTAATTTTGCATAGTATTGCTCAAATACGATATTTTCGTTTAGTATTGACAGTGTTGATGATAATTTGCTAGCCGTATCACACAATATCATATTATCATACATTATAATAATTTATTAACATACTGTTAACCACGGTCTTAGAAGACCGTGCTGTTGACATTCTGGTTGTTATTAATTCTGTGCGTGTGGTTTGGTACGGTAAACGTTTCCATGTTTTTCGTAGGTACAGACTTCACATCATAGGTAAACAAGACCCCAATCAGCTGATCGAGTGTCGCTTCTATATTGTTCTATGGTTTGGCCCATCGACTATTATTTATTATATTATTATTTGGTTGTGCTATTAATAAATGTTGTTTATTTTAATATTATATTATTTTCATGTTTCAATATTTGCAGTAGGTACGTTATTACTTATTAGTTATCAATGTTATTATCAATATATTCAACCGTCCAATGTTGTACTACACACTGAACTCAATAATATGGAACGCGTATTACGAAAAAAAATTGATGCCCCCTAGTAGTCCGCCATTTTGATTCTTCTCATGGACTAAACAATTTTCTCATGGAATAAACAATTTAACGAAGCAATATCAGAGCGATGTTTTGTGATAATGTTGCCGCTTAATTTTAAAATTCCCTATAAGAGTCACTGAACTCAATAATTAATAATTATAATTGAGTTCAGTGATAAGAGTACTAAGAAATTATCATCGGTTCTCAGAAAATGAAGTTCCTGAAAGTTAAACACCATTGCTGGAATTCGTGTCATTGCCTAATCTCCATTCTATTATCCCATAGGTACCTCAATAAAATATAGTACTTCCCACTTAATAGCATTGGAATTGTAAATTTTTTTTTTGTTCATTGTAATTTTTTATGGTAAATAGTGATTTATAACTGCAAAGTATTTTGATTTTCATAAATTGTATTATTTTGTTACCACAATTATGGTCCATAAGTGTAGTGTAGCCGGCTGCAGGCAAAAATATATTAAAGGCCTGAGTTTCTTCAAGTATGTATTCAATTAAATATAATATTGTATCGTATTATTATTATGTATCATCGTGTCAAATCATCCGGTGGAAATGTCGAATCTTTGGACAATACAGGTATACTTTTTACAACCCGTTTGCCAGTAGGTAAATTTGAAGATACTCTGCCAAATGATACTTTATCTATATCTAATGGAAGAAAATTTAAAGAAATGTTAAATGATGAAAATTATACTAATACCGAAGAAGAAAATATAACTTGCTTACCCGATTTTGATATTGATCATAACAGAGAAATTCAAAAAGAACTTAAAAGGTTTAGAAATGCCACCAAATTATTTTGTACTTAGTGAATTTTCGGAGAATGTAGTTGCTTTAGTTGCAGGATATGTTGTTCGAATGGTAAGTTATAAATATATTTAACTTTAACAACAAGAATAATTTAAATAAAATATGTTGCAGGTTAGCAAACGGCTAAAATGCCACGAATGTACAGCAGCCCTATACAAAGGCAACCTTAATGAAAATCGTGTGCTTCTAATAATCCAAAAAAGTCCAGGTGGTCTTATAATACCAGCAGATGATGTGATAACTGTTTGCCACATGACAGAACTCTTGTATCGTCGAGTATTAAATGACATTTCAGAAATAAGTGAAAATGATTTTTCCCAAAATTTAGCACTATCTGTTTTCAGTCGCCTATGTCAAAAAAATTTATTTAATCAGCTATATTATCATTCCTTTGATTCTGAAGAAAATCACATACATATACTAATAAAAACTATTTCATTATGTTTCATAAGAATCAGAAACTTTCATGAAACCAAAAAAATCAATACAAATATGATAGGCAAAAATAAACGTAAAATTTTAACAAGATTAGCCATACTACAAAATGTTTAAAATTTAGTTATAATAATAAAAATAACATATTATTATGTACAATAATATATAATAGTAAATAAAAGATAATTAATGTTAAATAGATATTATTTATGTTTCTAATTTAATTATTTTTCAATGCATTGGTTTATTAAACTATAGTTACTGCACTTGATCACCACACTACGTATTAATTACAATAATTAATTATGAATTATAATTCACTATTATAATAAACTCCTATGGACGTTACGAACTATAGTAATTACGAACGATGGAAAAACAAAATGTGTAGTTAAAGTTAACATTTTTAAATTAATTAACATTTAAGTATTTAACATTCCACAGGTATAACATAATATTACAATTCTATGATATTCTGATATCACTGAGATTTGGTAGAAGATAAGCTAATAAAACAGTTCTATCCATGAAATATCATGGAAAGAAACATTAACGGAATGAAGATGGCAGCCTCATAGGGGGCATCACTTTTTGTATTAGAAAATATAAAACAATACGCGTTCCATATTATTGAGTTCAGTGGCACGTAATACGTTTTAATATGTTATTATTGTAACACAAGTCACGATTAATATTATATTATATTAATTTAGTTACCTATCATGAGCGTATTTTATACTTAACAAAATATGTGAATATTATAGTCTGATACTCTATTACAATATGATGTTGGGTGGAAAAAAAGATATTCAAATTGGCAGAATTGGAAAACAATAAAAATGCATTGGTGAAAAAAACAAATATAAAAGGTTAGTCAAAATTGTATTTAATATAGTTTTTAATTTATTCTCTGAAGTCTGAATGTTAACTTATTATTTAAATTTATTTACAGATAACTTGGATGGTATTAGAAGAGATGTTTTGTTTAGTAATGATTTACCTCTACGATCACATTAAGATTGTCAACATGAAGATTTGAATAATGTCATTAAAACTGATATTGTTGAATTATCTAATAATCCCAAACATACAGGTTAAATTTTAATTACCTTAATTGGGGTGCCATAAATTATTTGAAAATACAATTTCGGAAAAGATGTTTTTTGAAAATATTTATTTTTGAATCTTTATAATTTGGAAACGATAAAATTGGAATGTACACACCCTGAAACTACTATTTCGGAAAAGACGTTTTTTGAAAATATTTATTTTTGAATCTTTATAATTTGGAAACGATAAAATTGGAATGTACACACCCTGAAACTACTATTTCGGAAAAGACGTTTTTTGAAACTATTTATTTTTGAATCTTTATAATTTGGAAACGATAAATTGGAATGTACACACCCTGAAACTACTAGTTCGGAAAAGACGTTTTTTGAAAACTATTTATTTTGAATCTTTATAATTTGGAAACGATAAAATTGGAATGTACACACCCTGAAACTACTATTTCGGAAAAGACGTTTTTTGAAACTATTTATTTTTAGTTTTATCTTTATAATTTGAAATAAAGTACATAAATAAATAAATTAAATTAAATCAATAAATTCTATAATTTGTTTAAATAAATAAATAATAATATTTCACACAACTTGTATTTTTTAGTATATCGTATTTGTGGGTGAATAGAAACAGGTTTACACCTTTCAGATGTTACGAGTATATCTCTGGATCTAAAATTCTAAAATATGTACAACGCTGTGAATTACATCAAAATTTGGGTCTCGCCGTGTACTACATGTCTACATGATAGACATTTCAATGATTACCCAACTATAAAATTTGATTTTATAAATGTTCATATAATTTGTTATTCAACCCTGATGCGGTTTGAATAGAAACAAAATATTTGATTTTTTTTTTTAAAAACCGTTCAAACTATTTACTATTTACTAATTATTGATGTATCTACTTAATTTTTTTTTTCAAACCCCCCTTCATCACGAAATCCTAAGCATGATCCTCATCAGAATTGGAACCAAATGGTAGATCAGAATACCTAAATTTATTTTAAAAAATAAAATTATAAGATTGATAATTTACAGTAGGCAAACATAAAATTGTCTTCTTTTAATAATATTAAGTTGTAAATTATTATATTAAATTATAAAATATTCAGTAATTTACTAAATGTTTAAAACGTTTTTCTACTAGCTTCTATCAACTTTCTGTTAGTGGGCTTTGGTGTACCAACCAAATATTTTTAATCAAAAAAGGATAAAACTGTTTAAGATTACAAAAAACAAAATTAATTTGTTTCCTTTAATAACAATTCCTTTATTAATGATAAAAAATAATGTACATCAATTTAAAAATATATATAAATTTATATATTAAATAGTTGTTGCATGTAATCTTACAAACATGGTTATACCTATCGCCACGACAATATGGACAATAATTTGATGAGCGCATCTTACAATCACGACATGGAACCACAATATACTTTTCAGCACGAAGACTCCCGGGTTTTGGTGCCTTGCGGCTACAACCGCGGACCTCACATTAGCGCTGTGCGCTAGTCGAGAGCCGCGGAGGTTCACGGTCGACGTACGGTGGCCCAGTCCGCCATACTTTTCAGCAGACGTGCCAGGAACATGACATATCATACACATCTCAGTGCTTATTTCTTCATCTGGCTCTTCTAACAGTTGTCTTTCATTGCTCCTATTCATACTGATTTCTGCATCACTCTCTACATTCTGTACAATTTCTATCTCGGTCTCTATTTCATCCTCCCTCTCAGAATCAGGATCATCCATCACTTGGTCACTTTCTGGTTCATCCACATCATTAATAACCATATTATCATCAATATTATTTTCAAAATCTTCCTCTGATTCACTTTCATTAATTATATTTTCTGTCTCGGATACTTCTTCATCACCCATCTCAGAATTGTCACCTTCCACCTCTTCACCACTATCTGTATCATCTACAACTTACTCTTCAGACTGATTATTCATTCTATTATCAGCTGCCCGAGCTTCATGCCTATTTTCAGCCAAGCAACGACGGTGAACAAGTGTTGTCCAGTTTCTCATTCTTGCCTCATACCCAGAAACGCTATGCGAACAGCGAAGTAAAAAACCTTTTATGGTTATAAGCTCGAGATCTAATTTATCTTGAGATGATTTTATTTTGAAGCTGTTGTTCATAAATTTGACCCTTGCCGTTCTTGTTGGTGTTAAGCCATCATTTAACTGACTCATTACAATAGAATAATTTTCTTGTATCTTGCATAAATTATCGGTATAATTGCAGTTTAGCTACCACGAGATTTTTTCAAATTTTTTTTCGAAACCTAGGTAAATCAACGTTTTAAAAATGATGGTGCCAAAAAAAAATTGCGCAAACTCTTAGTTTTTGAGTTATAACTGTTAGAAATTCAAAAATTCCCAAATATTGCATTTTGAATTTTGAATTTTTTTGTGGTAGACTTATGTATTTTGACTATTTAAAAATGATGGTGCAATCAGAATTTGTCGATCGAATTGAGTTTGAAAGTTATAGCGGTTTTAAGTTAAAAATTTTGGATTTTTAAAGAAAAATTTTTTTTGTTGAACCAAGGCGCCAAGTGAGGTAGTTGCGCCTTACCTGCTCCGGTTATATTTTTCAGATATATAATTTCTCTGAATCCAAATATCGTAAATATAAATGTTTCTGTAATTGGCAAAAAACAACTTTGTTTAATTCCGAGGTTCACCTGAGGTGGTTTTACACAACAAATCGGGGGATATTTTCGATTTGCGGAGCGGAGCGACGGCGCCGAGGAGCGTAGCGACGAGTGCCAATACACTCGTGATCACTGCAACTTTTAACTTTCATAACTTAAAACCGCTATAACTTTCAAACTAAATTCGATCGACAAATTCTGATTGCACCATCGTTTTTAAATAGTCAAAATACATAAGTCTACCACAAAAAAAAATTCAAAATTCAAAATTTGGGAGTTTTTGAATTTCTAACAGTTATAACTCAAAAACTAAGAGTTTGCGCAATTTTTTTTTGGCACCATCATTTTTAAAACGTTGATTTACCTAGGTTTCGAAAAAAAAAATTTGAAAAAATCTCGTGGTAGCTAAACTGCAATTGTTCCAAATTATCTATTAAAAAATTGGTAAAATTATCTATTTTTTTTAATAATATTATAACTTACTCAAAAAACTCCAGATGTTTGAATGCCAAACAGAAAATGTCATACGTAGTTTATTATGAAACGACTCTATATTATTATTGGTTCTTCGGGGTTGTCTATATACTGATAACACGTTGACTCCAACCCGATTCAACCAAAACCTTTGAAATAAAAGTAAAATATAATAGGAAATAAAAAATTATGACAAATATGTATGTATATCTGTAATGATATAAGACATCTAATAAAATTAAAAATAATTAATCAATGAAATTATTAATTTAGACTTATGTTTTGGTTTAGTGATTTATTTGTAAAAAAAAAATACTTTTACTAAAGAAATAGTTACTTATGTTACTATACAAACAACTATTAAAATTTACCAACAAACAAAAATAGTTCCAATAAGTTTATTTTATTTTTACCTTTTATAGTATTGAAATAACCTGTTTAGATTAATATTTTTTCCTTGAGCATAAACTTCAATTATATTAAATCCTCTTTCAATTTTTGCTGGTGGTAATAATGGTAAGCATAGTAACATCCTTAAAATCTTTGCAGCCTCTTCATTAGAGTTTATCAATCTCAAATAGTTTAGCTTTTTCATCTGTTTCCACACAGCCTGTTAAAAAAGTATTATTTGTTAAAAATGTATTAATGAATAATATTTGAAAAAAATTGATTTTAGTTTAATGCCTTTATATATTTTAGTTGCTTATATTTTGCTTCACTAACAATTAATTATTATGTTCCAATAAATATTTATATACTTGTATATAGGTACAAAAATATCTAATGATACTATTGTACATAGATATACTTTTATATTGTTTTAAGAATGTGTATATACATTCAGGCTTGGACTGGCCCGGACCGCTGGTCAGCAATTGCTAAGATAAAGCTTTAACTTCTATTATACAAATTAATGAGCCTAGTATTGAAAATTCTCGGTTTTTATTATTCATACATTTTTTGTTACAAATGATTTTTAAGAATTCTAAATTTGACGCGAAAACTAAATTTACTGCACTCCATCTTTTAAAACTTTGGTCTAAATTTGAAGTTATATTTACTGTGGCCATTTATATTGATATTGTTAGTGTAAGTTCTCCTGTTTCTACATTTTTGCAGTATCGTTCATTAAAATAATAATATAATAAAATAATTAAATGTACCTTTTTACAATAAACACAGCTGAAAATGTTAGTGGATTAGGATGAAAAAATAAAGTTTCACAGATTTATGCTTCTCGTTTATGTGCTAAATCTCATGCTACTCTACTGTAAAAATTATATAAATTTCTAAGAACTAAATTAGTTACTTGATTGTGATGGAACCAACATCCTTGTGCTCGACCAGTATTAAAATAATTGGTCAGGGTATCTCGAAGAGCTGATTCAAAATCGGTGACTATTGTTTGAGGGTTGAAGTTTGGCAAGATTGTATCTTTAATATAAGAAATTACACGTTCATAAAGTGTTCTTGTTTTGCTTTCCATCAGGCTGTATACTATTGGTAAACTCTAAAATACAATTTAAAAGTATTTTTATTTAATTTTAAAAATAAGTTAACTAAAAGACATTAAAAACTTTAATAGATATTTAATAATTTATATTCCTTACCATTTTTTTTACTTATATTTATACTAATGTACTACCTATATACCTATATTTAATTAATTATAAGAAACCTAGTCTAAAAAAAATTAAATTTAAAATTAAACACCAACATTAATATTAGACTTACATAGTTATCAATTATGCAATGGAGAACAAGCATTTGTCTTGATTTTGGTTTAGACGGAACAACTTTAAAAGTACCATCTGCGTGGAGTTCATTTGCACCATAGTTTACTACACGATCAACAAAATTCTGGTTGGTAAAGATTATTGCATAGTTACTATGATCCCTTACACAACCTAATTGGTAAATAAAAGAAAAAACCAAAATTGTTATTATGATAATATTATCATCATTATGTTATATGTACCTTACATATTATGTTTATGTACCTTTTTCTATCGTGTACTAACGTACCTATGTATTTTTTGTACCTTCTACTCTAGTTTAGGAACTTACATTCTCCCAGTATAATACTATAATAACCTATATAAGCAATAATACAGCAATAATTATTGATCTCGATTAAAAATATTTGATTAATATTTAATAATGTAACCCCCCCCCCCAGATATTTTTCCTAGTTGCGCCACTGTGTATGAGTACAGCGCGTTATAAAAATAGTTCAATGGCTGATAACCTTCGCTATTAATGGCGTAATTAAAGGGGGGTTGCCGGTTGGGTGTCATATCCCCCCTATGACTTTTTTAGATTCTGAACGGAGTGATGAACGTATTGATTTTACAATGTGTTTTTTATTTTTTTTATATCTGTTTACACCATAACTTGTCGAAATAGTGATTCAATTTATTTAAGAGAACCCTACTGTCCCTACTCCCTAGTCCCTATAAAGAATGGAAACAAAATTAACGAGACCCTAAAAAGAAACAAAAAACGGTTGACATATTTAGATTTGTGATAATACCATCCCCATAAACATCGGTTTAGTGTGTATTCCAATTAATTAGCGCAAAAATATAATTGTTAATTCTAATTTATACAATAAATCAACATTGATTTTAATAATATCAACCATTTTAATATAAAAAGAACTATTGTTTATTTGTATATAAGCATCTCACTATACTTTACTATCGAAGTAGGTAACTAGGTAAGCAGTGGTACACCAATTCTATAATACAATAACACTTATTAATATTACCTAAATACCTATTTGTTCTATAAAATACATTTATGCCACCTTAGTATTTTTGGAAATTCTTGTCTTAAACATTTTAATTTTATAGCTTATAATTTATATACATCATCAACCACAAAAATACCTATTTAAATTTTCATAATCAACAAATTTTATAATTTATATAAAACATGATATATATTTATCAAATAAATCTATAACAAACTTAGTAAATTCTGCAGATTGTTATCAACTAATTGTATTATTATTGCTTACTTGGTATGAGCCAAAATAGATATAACCATAATTATCATTGTAAATGCTTAGCTGTGCTATGTTCATTTAAAAAAATTAATGTTCTGAATCTGAACAAAATTAACTTTACTATATTATACCAGTGCTGAAGTAAGTAAAATATAACTATAAAGGGGGATATTTCATTTTTTTCTCTAGCTTTTTAATGCTAGAATATTTATCATCTGTTACTATGACCTGTCCTGACTGTTATTTTAAATATTTTTTTTTTTTTTGGGGGGGGGGTACTTGTTATATACCAAACCCAGTGCCATAGCTGTCCTCATTGACATTTTTTTATGGACAATGAGGTCCTAAATCAACAAATGATAAGTATTCTAGTTTAACAAAAAACAGAGAAAAAAAGTGCCCCCCCCCCAAGGTTTATTCTTTCTAAATTTCCAAATTATATAGATTCAATAAACGTTTTTTCAGAAATAGTAGTTTCAAATATTTACGGTTTCCAAGGAATGCAGTTTCTTGGGATATTGTTTCCAAATAATGTATAGTCCAAATTTATCGTTTCCAAGTAAAGAAGATTCAAAGTTTATAGATTCCAAATTATGTCAGTTCCAGACTTATCGATTCCATGTAATGCCGATTCCTGATTTGTTGATTCAATTTTATTATCAACCCATGTTTATCATTTCCAATTAATGATACTTCCAATAAATAAAGATTCAAAGATTAATAGATTCAAAAAATTGTATATTCAAAACCATATTCTTCAAAGTTTTTACATGCACCCCCTTAATTATCATTTATAAAACAATCATGTAGATTTTTAGAAGTAATAATAATTTTTATTTCTAATTTATAGAAGAAAACTATGACACCTTGGGCTATAAAACAAAACACACTGATAATGAAACTTTTATTTTAAGTAGTAAGTACCTATATTTTATACTAATAATACCATTATTACAAATTTAACTATGTCACAGTATCAAAATTGTGTATGTATTGATTATTGAGTAAACCCTACTAAATAATATTTTAAATATTCTATCTTTGATGGACTA